ACAATTACAATAGGCCTTCGCAGCGCTTTGCTGCTCGGGCCTAATAAACGACACAATTACAATAGGCCTTCGCAGCGCTTTGCTGCTCGGGCCTAATAATAATAAGAAACGACACAATTACAATAGGCCTTCGCAGCGCTTTGCTGCTCGGGCCTAATTAAAGCTGCAAGCAGCGTTGAAGGCCCTCGCAGCGAAGCGCCGCTGCGGCCTTATGGCGACCGCGGGAACTGCAGCGACCCTTCCCGGTCGCCATCGAGAATGCTCACGCTACCGTCACGCGCCCGTTCTCCGGAGTGCGCATTCGCCAAACCTTTGACATAAGCTGCGACCGCATATGTACCTATTGTAATAATGTAGGGGGCGCACTTGAGTCAAATATTAAACAACAACACCACTGTGTCCATAAGTCCTCACTAGTCAAGCACCAAAAATCTGGTGCAGATCGGACGATATATCACTGAGATATAACAGTTTGAATTATCTAGGGGGCGCACGTGAGTCAAATATTAAACAACAACACCACTGCGTCCATAAGTCCTCACTAGTCAAGCACCAAAAATCTGATGCAGATTGGACAATATATCACTGAGCTATAACAGTTTGATTTACCTAGGGGGCGCACTTGAGTCAAAAGTAAAACAACAATACCATTGTGTGTTTAAGTGCTCACTAATCACACACCAAAAATCTGGTCCAGATCGGATGACACATCACTGAGATATAACAGTTTGAATAATCTAGGGGGCGCCCTTGAGTCAAATATTAAACAGCAAAACTAAAATGTCCATCAGCTCTCAGTAATGATGCACCCAAAATCTGGTCCAGATCGGATGACATATCACTGAGATATAACAGTTTGAATAATCTAGGGGGCGCACTTGAGTCAAATTTTAAACAACACTAACAATGTGTTTAGACATGGTCACACATTATGCCATAAAAATTTGGTGTAGATCGGATGATATATCATTGAGATATAACTGTTGCAAGATTGTAGGGGGCGCTATAGAGTCAAAATTTAAAAAACTATACTACTGTGTCCACCAGGGCTAAATAATAATACACCATAAATTTGGTGCAGATCGGCTGATATATCACTGAGACAAAACAGTTTGAATAATGTAGGGGGCGCCCTTGAGTCAAATATTAAACAACAAAACTAAAATGTCCATCAGTTCTCAGTAATGACGCACCAAAAATCTGGTTCAGATCGGATGTTGTATCACTGAGATATAACTGTAAGAAGAATGTAGGTGGCGCTGTGGAGGCTCTTGGCCACTTATCATGGAAACCTGTTCAGAGGTGGATAATGATCAATCATAGTGATTTTGGTTCACCTGGGCTCAAATCTGTGCAATTTAGAGCCAAACGTATTGCAACGGCGTCACTTTTTAATTCGCCATGGCGCCACGCCCACATTCTCCAGCTATTACTGTTTTGTTGTTTAAATCAAGTCAGACCATCTTATCTGTCTTCTAACAGAGGATCATCCTGATTATGTTAAGGGTGTCAAAGAAGGACCATTCCAAGCAAAAAAAGTCACTTCCTGTTCTGAGGGGGCGGGGCTTTGATGACGTCAAAATTTGACCTCAGTGTATCGTCAGGCATGGGACAGGGATGACTCGTGCCAAATTTGGTACGATTCTGTTTTTCAACGTGAAAGTTATAACGTTTGGAAATTTATGGCGTGAAGCTCAACTTTGAGGCCTGGCCCCGCCCCCTCAACATGCGTGAATTTGCACCGTTTTGATAACTTTAGGTCCCCCATGCCTACTGAGCAAAATGGCAAAGGTTTGAAACCGATTGAGCGAAATCCCTAGGAGGAGTTCGTTCAAATTCGCCGTGTACGAAAAGTGAGAAACGGCCAAAATTGACCCTTTGACCCAAAATGGCCGACTTCCTGTTGGGTTTAAGG